ATCAATAGTTTCTGATCAATGTGCCTGCTTCTGAGAGCCTAAGGATAGCTTTGATTGCTTGACTCATTTGGTTAACTAAAGCTTTAAGAGGGCTATGACGTAACACACACACACAGAGCTAAGCTGAAGCAACTCAGCATTGAAGAGCGACCCAACATCACCTTCCAGCTATCCATTGTCTCAATCCACTCTATCATCTTCAAGGTTGCAGGTAGGAGGTCTCCATCTCCAGCAGTCATTGACTGGAGTACACCCTGGACAGGTTGCCAATCTGTCACATGGTAGAAATGATTACTTAGTGTTGTTGCTGCTAAAGGTGCTTCTAAAAGCTGTCGGATCGTGGAGTATTTTTCCTATTTTTCTCACAGTAACATCATATTTCCTGTTGTGTTTTCGTACGTTTGAGGGTAAAGTTGTCTCATTTCAAAGCTTGATCAAGACCAGATCATTGTTGTTACGTCCCCAATGCTCCATAGCAAAAGAGGAGGTACTTTCTTTCTCCCGTCGCTGTCCGTTCTGCATTGTGAAGACAGCTGGGGCTCTAGCCCCAGGCACGCCACCCTAACATTCAGCGTTATTGTGCAAGACATGAATAGGTCTGGCGTTTAGCATCAGGAACCGTTGATTCATCAACAATCTCATTGATTATCCTGTTTGCTCCATCAGCTTGTGCTGAGTTGTAGCATCGTCCCTCTCAGCAAATAACTGGCTCCATGATGCTGCTTTTAATTTGATCGCAAATGACTGCCGGGATGGCACACAAGCCTGGAGGTGGAGAGTGATTCACTCCCCGCTCACTAACATGTTGCTATTAGATGTTTGACCTCGCGGGTCTGTTGGGAGTCTGTGTATGCACATACAGTATTATATCAAGGCCATTTAGCTTTGCTCATAAACTTGGTTTTATGGTTTCCTTTTCCATCCCTTAAGCACACGGACGTATATCGTTCTCACAATAAGTTTGGTCAATTTAATCAAGCAAATGAAAGATTAATAGCTTGTTCAGTGCTCCAAACTCCAGGGAAGCTGCCGAAGGACAACATGTGAAATTCACCTTTCAGTCTAATTAAGTTAAATCAGGTCACTTTAACGCAGTCATCAGGATTCATTCAGAGTTTAGAAAGCTTTGCCAATTGCAGGTGAGGGGCTGTTGGGTTAATCTTATTAAAGTTTCCATTAGTGTGTTTTAAGAATAAATGAACACGGATCGACGTGGTGGCTTTTGTTATCGAGGACACAGTTTTCTTCTGAGGCAGTGCCTGCTGAAAACTGAAAGTGGAACGGTGACGGAAACACCCACAGCTCTGCTCCCTCGGCTCGGCTGGGTTTATCAGCCTCCTCCGCTCACAGGCTGAACGATGCCTGAAATATTTAGTCACCAGTAAAAAGTCCTGTAGTGGAAATAAATAAACTGTATATTTAGTGCATGAGCTACTAAAAGTGTTAGTGGTCCCTTTTACTATAAAACAGGCTTTTTAATACATTTTTCAGCTTTATAATATAAACTCCAGCCTTGGCTAATGTTAAAACCAAAACCTTCCAAACATGAAATAGTTAACCACTGAAGATCAGGTTTTCTTATGAGTTTTTCATTTGGACATACTTTGGATTAATTTATATGGTAGACCAAAATGGTATGAGGCCTTTTTAGGGTTCTACAACCCCCCAAGGTGCTTCACAGCACAATCAGTCATTCACCCATTCACACACACACACTCACACGCTGATGGGGATGATGTAGCCACAAACAAGGGCAGCAGCACTCTCTGGCTGGAGTCAGGATCAAACCTGCAACCTTCCGATTACTGGACAACCCGCTCTACCTTCTTAGCTACTGCTGTCTCTGTAACATATCTACCTATTGTTTTTTTTAATAAATAAAACATGAAATCCAAGTTTTTTCTCTTGTAAGTTTAGTCTTTGTGCAGTAAAAGTGTGATTTGCAATGGAGTAGCCAGTTTTAACCTTCAGTGTACAATAAACAATCTTAAAAATCTGGTGTTGACCTCAGATGCAGCGTTTATTTATCAGTGGCTTTGCACTGATGGTCAAGGACAAACCATAGTGTGTGTTCAGCATCAGCAGCATCTGTGCAACAACTGTTTCCACTTGTATCTCACGCTGAAAACAGAGCAATGAGACAACCTGTTGGCATGATAGGAGAGTTGCACGAGCGATGCACGTGTCAAAGCTAAAACTGAGTGGTCAGCTCAGTGATCTGTGGACACACACATTTCACATAAGTGTGTGATTTGATGCATTGCAGTAGCTTCAATGAGTTCTCTTCTGCATGTTGCTCAGCTTGGTGCCACACACTCACGTACACGAGAATGTGTTTAGATCAGCGCTAGATGCTGAGCCACTACTTCCTTTTTAGAAGTGGACCGAGGCCATGTACACTTGTAGCCAGTTGTTTTTTTTTAGGACAAAACCATGGAAATGCACTACCTTGTTTTCAGCCAAAACAAGACAGTACATTGTAAAGCATATTCATAGGCAT